GCACGCGGAAGCGCAGGGGAGAGATCAAAACAAAACAACAGACCGAATTAGAAGTACAAAACGAGGATTTGTAAAGAAGAATGTCGGAGGATTTCGATATAAGCCAAGAGGAGACTGGTTTTCCTTTGCTGAAGTAAGGAAACTTTGCTTCCTTTGCTCCTATTAAACAAACTCGCGAGACTAGCATATTTCAGAGGCGCGCGCACTGCGCATACGTCATACGCCTTCCGCCAGATACCGGAAGTGAGAGAAAAGTGTTTATTACATTTAAATATGGATATTTTTCTTACAAAAACGCATGGATTCACTACAGAAGGCCTTTATTCACCCCTCGGAGCCGTGTGAAACACGTTTTATTATGAATGCGCGAGCTTTATGTGACGACTTGTGGACTGAAGCACTGCAACACCCGCTGACTGCAATGATAGAGCTTGGAATAGCCAGGACAATTTTTAATACAACTCCGACTGGATTCGTCTGAAAGAAGAAAATCATATACACCTAGGATGCTTCGAGGGTGAGTAAAACACAAGCTAATTTTCATTTTTGGGTGAACTAACCCTTTAAGAGTGCTTTTTGACCCACTTCAGTACATCTTTATATGCAAATTTCATAATTACTGCTATTGTCTTTGCAGTGACAAGCATTTGTGGCAAACTAAAATATCCTTTAATGCCATTTCTATTGAAACTTGCATTTAAATATATTTGTAAGTACACATTTGTAATAAAGACGTTGCAATTTAGTTCATTTAAAATATATTAACTTTAAATGTTATATCGAATAACACACTACAGTTAAAATAATAATAATAAAGTATTTTACATGTGCTTTAGTGTGTTAGTCAACATATCAAAATACGTGTACTTCTTTAAAGCAACACAAAATTATTAAAACAATTATTTAAAATGTAATTTAATTTGACACTTTTTTAAAAAGTTTATCTTAAAATTTTAAGTTTATTCTAAAAGTTTCTAAAAACTTTTTTTTAAAGTGTACTTTGTAAAGATTTTAGATTTCGATATAGAATAAAATATATAAGATAAGAATATAGATTTTTTTAAATATTTGAAATGCACTACAAATGCACATTTAATACAATTAAGTGCACTTCAAGTATGGTGTAGTATAGACTAGTATAGCATAGTAGTTTTCTTACAGTAGCATTTGTGGTAAACTAAAATATACTTTAATGTTATTCCTATTGAAACTTGCATGTCCTGTATTAAAATATATTTGTATTTACATATTTGTAATGAAGCTGCAATTTAGTACATTTAAAATATATTAACTTTAAATGTAGCATCAAACACATTAAAGTTAAAATTATAATTACGTGTAACCAACACATCAAAATAAGTGCACGGCAAAAGATTATGAAAACAATTTCAAATGCACATTAAAATAAAACTTAAAATTTGGCATAATTACAAAGTGAAGTCTACTTAAGTGTGTTAAGAAACAGCCATGAAAGTGTCTCTCTTTAAGTACACTTAAGTAGCCTTTTATTTCATTAATACTACATTATCTGCAATACAGTTTATTAAAAATATACTTTATAGTTTAGAATGAAAGTTCACTACAAGTGCACACCGAATACAATTAAGCCCACTTCTAGTATGGTGTAGTATAGACTAGTATAGTGTAGTAGTTTTCTTCTCACAGTAGCATTTGTGGTAAACTAAAATATACTTTAATGTTATTCCTATTGAAACTTGCATGTCCTGTATTAAAATATATTTGTATTTACATATTTGTAATGAAGCTGCAATTTAGTACATTTAAAATATATTAACTTTAAATGTAGCATCAAACACATTAAGGTTAAAATTATAATTAAGTGTAGTCAACACATCAAAATAAGTGCACGGCAAAAGATTATGAAGACATAATGATTTCAAATGCACTTTAAAATAAAACTTTTTATTTGGCATAATTACAAAGTGAAGTCTACTTAAACGTGTTAAGAAACGTCTCTCTTTAAGTACGCTTAAGTGGCCTTTTATTCCATTAATACTATATTATCTGCAATACAGTTTATTAAAAATATACTTCAAAGAATTAAAGTTCACTACAAGTGCACACCGAATACAATTAAGCGCACTTCTAGTATGGTGTAGTATTTACCTTCTCACAGTAGCGTAGCTGGTACTGGAGGATCCTGTAGTGTGATTGGGTCGGTGTGTTCCAGTGCAGCGTCAGGCTGGATTCTGTGGCTGTGATCTTCCTCAAACCCGACACCAGTACAGGAACTACACACACACACACACACACACACACACACACACACACACACAAACATCTGAAATCAGTCAGAAAAAAATCTACTTTTTTGAAATGGAAATGTTTATTTGCATGTTTTTTTTTTAAAGCATTATATTTGATACATCAGGCTCATTATAACTCATATAGTATGATATGGTGAGAATATGGAGCTCATATGCAAGGAGGAAAAGACACCTAAGTTTTATTCAGAAGCCCAAACTGAGCAAAAATATGCAATCTGATGCAGTTGCTGATATTTATATGGCCAAAAAGTAAGATGAAATCCTGATAGCTTATAATGTAAATCAGTGAGATCTTTATAACAGTATAACAGGCTTCCATAAAATGCATATAAATATGAGTTGTCACTCTATATCTCCTAATGATATATCATATAAGATGATATTTAAATGCTTAGTTTTATAATGAAAGCTCTGTAGTTTTTATTATGGAGGCAAAACATATAATGCAATGTGCTACAGTGATGATTGAGACATGAACAAATAGCCTCACATTTTAACATGATTTTTCTAAAAAATGATGCCTGGATAATCAAGTTAACCTAATTTGCTTCAGTCCATGAAATGTTAATCTTGAAATATTACTAACAATATGAAATACTTTAAGATTTGACAGTAAAAAGACATGTGAACCACAACCTGAAGGGGGACGTATTTAGAACGATCCTGAAATGCTTTTTCTTGCTAAAAAAGTCTAAAATATCAATTAGACGACAGAAGGCATGTAGATTATGTGTAACAGGCTTTTCAGCAAAGTTTTGATCATGCTGATAATTTAGAGGCCTCAGAAGCTTGCGTATCAAATATGATCCAGCAGGCTTCGTAGGGTTAAGGGACGGGAGGATTTGAAGCTCAAGAGAGGAGCTGTACGCACGTGTGCAGGGTGTATCTGGACTGTCGGCAGGGGCCCGGTAAAAACCAGGGCGACACATACACGAGGCGGATCCCGTCTCTCCTGTGTGACTGGAGTCAGGACACACTGAACACGGGCCAGGACCAGATCTCATCTTAAAATGACCCACCGGACACGCTGGACAGAGAGAACCAGACAGAGATACATAAAAAATATGGTTTTTAAATCAGCCACTGTTTACAGGAAGGGAAAGCACACACAGATACACACTCATATAAATCAAAAGTGCTCACCAAGCTCAAAAATACAGCAAAAACAGTAATATCGAAAAGTGTTATCTTCATTTCAAATAGCAGTTTTCTATGTGAATATCTGTTGAAATGTAATTTATTGCTGTGAATTTTCAGCATCATAACTCCAGTCTTCAGTGTCGCATGACCCTTCAGAAATCATTCTAATATGCTGACTTGCTGCTCAAGAAACATTTCTGATTATTATCAATGTTAAAACTAGTTGTGCTGATTCAACCATGATTTGTTTTGTTATTCTTTGATGAATAGAAAGCTCAAAAGAACAGCATTGATTTGAAATAGAAATCTTTTGTAACATTCTAAATGTCTTTATTGTCACTTTTGATCAATTCAGTGCATCCTTGCTGAATAAATGCATTAAGTTATTTAAAAAAATCTCACTAACCTCAAACTTTAACCCACTAATTTTCAGATGACTCTTCTAGTTTGCTAGCTAAACCAGCACTAACCAGCATTAACCAGTCTGGACCACCATAGTCTTTTCAGTCCAACAGAGAAACAGGTTGTGTGGGAATGAGTGCTGTGTTATCATGTATTAAACAAACACACTTTCCCATAAAATAACCCCACCCCACACACACACACACACACACTTGCTGTCTTAAGCACAAACCTCATTTGTCCTTTTGCGTCAACATTTAAACAATAATTTAGACAACAAATCCAAACATGTGCCGGTGTCTATTTCAGTTGATGCTGGTTTGATTCAGGCTTGAAACCACTTCTGAATCTCTGTGTGGTAAAATCCGCTGTATGATATGAAATGTGATCATGCTCTTCTACATGTTTAGCCATTCAATCACTTAATTATAGTCTTGTGACTGACACAAACACACACTTTCAGCAGAAAAACCCACACGCATTCAGGTTACCCAAGAAACTTTAGGAGCTGATGTGAGGTACTCACAACACTACACACACACGTACACACGCACACACACACACGCACACGCACACACAGACACGCACACACAGACACGTGCACACACGCGCGCACACACGCACGCACACACGCACACACACACACACGTATGAACGAGCAATGCATAGTCTCATGAGACAGGAACAGACGGGCTTACAGACGAGTTTGCCTGACCAGTTTAATTTCATAATCAGTTCTCCACAACCCTCGTATTGATGGAAACACATCTGGATTTAATTAGCATCAGTTTCACTCAGACCAAAACGTGGTCTGAATTATCCTCCTAGTTAAAGCAACTTTACACTGGTTTGTGTGTGTGTGTGTGTGTCATTTGAAACGTTTCCATAATGAATGTCTGTGAATGAATGTCTACTCGCTGAAGGATAAAGACCTTCGGCCCTCTGGTGGTTTTACAGACACAAAGATGCTATTACTGCTGACATCTATATCAGTGTCTCGTGTTAAGGAGGTGTACTACGGATGGACAGATTTTGAAATGTATCAATTATGAATCTATACCGTTTTTAAACAAAATGGTACACTACCATTTAAAGGTTTGGGGTCGGTACAATGTGTGTGTGTATTTTTTTTTGTTGAAAGAGGTCTCTTCTGCTCACCAAAGCTGTATTTGTTTGATTAAAAAAACAGTACAAACAGTAATATTGTGAAATATTATTCCAATTTAAAATAACTGTTTTCTATCTGAATATGCCGTAAAATTTAATTTATTGCTGTGTTCAAAGCTGTATTTTCAGCATCATTACTCCAGTCTTCAGTGTCACATGATCTTCAGAAATCATTCTAATATGCTGATTTGCTGCTCAAGAAACATTTATTATTTTTTATAGATGCTGAAAAAAGTTGTGCTGCCGAATATTTTTATGCATTTTTTCAGGAATCTTTGATGAATTGAAAGTTCAAAAGAACAGCATTTATTTGAAAAGTAACATGTCTTTACAGTCACTTCTCATCAATTTAATAATAAAATATATTAATAAAAAGCTAATTTCTCTCTTTGTTTTTTGTTTTTTTAATCGTACTGACCTAAAATCGTGCCGAACAGAAATGCATCTAACTTCTGAGTACCTTTGCTCAAGGCAAATTTGTGTTTTATAGACACACACCGATTTGAATCCCATCCAAATTGAACATGTCTGTTTTTTTCGCACAACCTCAGGGGAAAAAAAAAAAATTACTGAACAAATTACTTGCGTTTTTTTTCTTTCTAGAAGGTCCTCAGAGAAAACTAATCTTGTCCAGATAGGAATGTCTGTGATTGCGGTATGTTATTGTTTTCACAACTCTTCTCCTCATTTATTTCAAACCTTCGTTGAATGCTATAACTAAAGCTAATTTTCTTGTTAAACTGCCTGGAGAACCATTACTTTTTGCAAGCTTTCTGGGTGGTCCTGCGAGTGCTGCTGACAACCCAGTCGATGCTAAAAGACAATTACATCGATACACGAGTGTGATCTCAGAACGCGCTCAGAGCAGCGTCAGGTACGATCCTTATCTTTCTTCATTCCTTCCCTTCATTACATACACAATGTGTTAAGTATACAATTTATTAATTGGGTTTCAAGACACACACATTCAGAGCACATGATCTTCTAGAACGCCCAAATCTAGATGACAGACACTCATAATGCGATTATTGAAAAAACAGGTAACACTTTACTTAAAGCCTTTATATATAATGCATTATAAAAGGAGTTTTAATGCACCTTATAATGCATCGTATGATCTCATGAACCACAGTTATAATGCATTATAATACTTATTTTATCTATTCATTGTTACACCTTTAGAAATTATAATGCATGAAAACACATGAAAACAAACCTTCCGATATTATAATGCATTTAACTTTGGTTACAATTATTTATGGAAAGATATAATGCATTACAATGTACATTATGAATACCTGTATAATGCATTATACATAAAGGGTTTAAGTTAACATAAAACACTACTACACTATATAGATAGAGAGAGAGCAAAGATGCATTAAACTAATAAAAAATAACAATACATACATTCATAATGTTACAAAAGATTTCTGTTTCAAATAAATGCTGTTCTTTTAAACTTTCTATTCATCAAAGAACAATGTTTTTAACATTGATAATAATCAGAAATGTTTCTTGAACAGCAAATATTAGAATGATTTCTGAAGATCATGTGACACTGAAGACTGGAGTAATGATGCTGAAAATTCAGCTTTGATCACAGAAATAAATTACATTTTACAATATATTCACATAGAAAATGGTTATTTTAAATTGTAATAATATTTTACAATAGTAATGTTTTTAATGCAGCCTTTGTGAACATAAGAGACTTCCAACAACACTGAAACATTGCGATTTTTTATCTTATCGACCCTAAACTTTCTAAAGCTAGTGTATGTCTTATCTGTGTCGCTGTGGTCTTACTCATTCTTCAAAAGATGGCAGACATAAATGCAATCTCACTTAAGGTCTTGTGACCCAAAATATCTGACACATTAAAGACTAACATTTATCAGAAAAGCAATTAATCTGTCATCTGTGAGCATGTCACATTAAACGATCAAAGACTGGTGATTTTGCCCTTTGATTAAAGCATGCTTCTGCAATTCATCTGAGAAGGCAATATAGCTGTGTGCACCGGCTTCAGTCGCTTTGGATAAAAGTGTCTGCCAAATGCAGAAATGTAAATGCGCCCCGGATGCACAGGACTGTAATGTAATAGCGAGTGAAAATGTGTCCAGCCATAGGACACTGATGAAATACACTGTAATCCTCTCTCCTCATTTCTCCACAGAGAGCGTCTCCACTTCCTCTAGTTTAAACGGCTTTTCTGTGAGACCTTCATCTCACCTCTCTCACTCAGTCAGTTTTTTCCCTCCTTCTCAAGTGGCACAGACTTAGTCTAATTCAGTCCCATCTGTCCTTTACTGTCTCTCTGGCCTCTTATCTCAAAACTTACTTGAACTTACTTACTCTTGAAGGCAGAAAAGCAGTGTGTGTGTGTGTGTGTGCGCGCGTGCGTGCGTGCGTGTGTGCGTGCGTGCGTGAGTGAGTGAGTGAGTGAGTGAGTGTGTGTGTGTGTGAGAGTGTGTGTCTGTGTGTGTGTGTGCGTGCGTGCGTGCTGCAAAATATTCTGTATTCGACAGTCTCTCAGGTTCATACATTTGTGACAGTAGTTATAAAGATGGGAGTTTATGCTCAGAATGGCAAACTGCTGTGTGCTGCATACGGTGCACAGTAAGAAATTGTTTCGTATGCATGGAAAACCCAGTTGACCAGCTACATTTGACAAAATGTGTATCATTCAACCAGAGCACACTGCGAGTCTCCACAATGCAATGTGCTCAACCTGACCTTCAGTCTCCTATGGGACGAACTGGAAGGAAGACCAGCTCTGAATTCTTTATTTTTATATCTTGGTTCACTATTAAATCAGATTGTACGACACTATTTACTTGCAACATAATTAATGCCACTGTTAGTTAACAAACGATGTTAAACTGAAAATGCTCTACTCTAATTGTTCATTATTAGATGGTAATAGCAAATACACTACAGTTCAAAAGTTTGGGATCAGTAATATATTTTTTAGATTTAATATATTATTTTTAAATCAATTTTTTCAAAGATATTTATCATGTTACATAAGATTTCTATTTCAAATAAATGCTGTTTTTCTTCTTAAAGTCCCCATGAAATCAAAAATTCGTATTTAGAAGATATAAGCATTCAAAATTTACACAGTCTCTCACTTCCGGTTTTGATGACGTCACCCTGCACTTCAGCTTCTCATCAAACTTTCTGTCCAATCAAATGCTCTCTAGAATCTGAAATGCCCCGCCCCCTACACTATAAATACACGCTGAAACTGCGGCTGAAATCGGTCACTTGTTCACAGAATTAGTATTTTCTGTACACTGAATGGCACGTAGTGCACTATATGGGGAATAAGGAACGATTCAGACTGTGTAAATATGCTTTCCATTGGGTCGAAAGAGTCTGGTTTTGCGTTGTGTCATGCACACAGTCTGCTCCGGTCCAGAGACACGATATCACGGAGCGGATCACATGCACGAGTCGCGCAGACCACAAAATGTATCGGACCCATTAGAATTCTACCCAGAATGCTATATTTTATAGCGATTTGGATCAGATTAGAAGGAGAAACGGTTAAAGAGACAGCACGAGAACGAGTAGAAGAGATAACACCGGTGCCCTGCACCGACATAAATGACACAATTTTCAAACGACACATCCTCAGCATAATTATAATCACTGTTTAGCTTTAGTAACAGTTTCATATTGAATCTAAAGGGCTAATCTATTAGACTGTGGCTGTCATAAGCTGTCAAATGAGGCTTTACCGAGCTCAAAGGCCCTGGCCCAAGCTGTGACATTACAAACTAAACGCTATTGGCTATTTAAAAAGTGGGTGGGGCTGCTCGATATGCCCCGCCCCATCTTCCTGTTTCAGTTGAAATTACGTCACCACATAGCATAACGCTGCATGTGTTAAGGCACTTCAGTGGACCTTTAATTTTCTATTCATCAAAGAATCCTGAAAAACACATATTGTGGTTTCCACAAAAATATTCGGCAGCACAACTGTTTTCAGCATTGATAATAATCAGCATATTAGAATGATTTCAGAAGGATCATGTGACACTGAAGACTGGAGTAATGATGCTGAAAATACAGCTTTGATTACAGAAATAAATTATATTTGAGCATACATTAAAATAGAAAACAGCTATTTTAAATTATAATAATATTTTGCAATATTTTACTGTATATTTATGATCGCATCAATGCAGCCTTGGTGAGCAGAAGAGATTTAAAAAAAATAAAATATAAAACCCCAACCCCAAACTAAATGCTACTCCAAGGTAGTGACACAGAGCACAGAATCAGCCGTAATGAGTGTAATCATATTCCATGATGTTTAAATAAGATACATCAAAGAACTGTTTAATTGAACTGAGATTTGGCTAGATTTTTGGCTTCAGCTCATCGTCTTCACGGAGAGCTCCAATTGGCTTCAGAGAAGCCCGTTGCGTTCTCACTCACCTCTACACTCCAGTTCTCCATGGCTGGCCTCGAAGCCCGGCAGGCAAGTGCAGGTGGTGGTGGGCTGGTCCACCCACTGTCCATCTTCCCCGCAGAACATCTTGGGCGGTCTGGGATTGGGTCCAGGCTGCTCTGCGTTGGCCACACACTGGCCCACCGCCTCCTGGACCAGCGAGCGCGGAACTGTCTCCGGGAAGACGGATAGCGAGCACGTGAGAGCCGGACACTTCTTTAAGAAGACGCGCACAGATAGAAGCGCCATGCAGGCACCCTGGGCCTGGAACGCCAAGTAGAATCCACGTTTGGTCAAAGGGCCCAAACGCAGCGTTTTGACATTAAACTTCTTCTCTCCACCTTTGCGCAGCAGGAAGTCCGCGGCCACCGTGTCGACCTAATGGAAGCAGAAATACGGTAAACACTTGTAAGACAGAAATCACAAAGGAGATCTTTTACATTCCGATTGAGACTAAACGAGAACTGATCTCATAGATATTCAGTGTTTTCCACACATACAGGATTGAGAATAAATAGAGAGAAAGTGGATGTGATCGCACATCACCTCTACAGACTTCAATAATATCCCAAACTGTCCCCCGAGCCCAAATGATGTGCTGTGCTATCTACAGTCATTTTAGGGTTATACTCTCTCGGTACCCTAAGAAGTGCACTTAACTGCACTGAATGTGCACTCGCAGTGCACTTCAAATATTTAAAGTATATATTTTTTTTAAAATGTACTTGCAGATAAAATTATATTAATGAAATAAAAGGCCACTTAAGTGTACTTAGAATACACCTTCATGACTATATTTTTAAGTGAAATGTCAAATTTTTTGAAAGTTTTTCTTTAAAGTACATTTTAAATCATTGTTTTAATAATCTTTTGTCATCATTCAAAGCAGTACACTTACTTTGATGTGTTGACTAACATACTAAAGCACATTTAATGTACTTGATTATAATTTTAATTGTGGCGTGTTATTCAATATTACATTTTAAGTTAATACGTTTTAAATGTACTAAATTGCAACTTCATTATGTGTAATCACAAATATATTTAAATACTTCACATACAAGTTGCAACAGAAATGACATTAAAGTATATTTTAGTTCACCATAAAGGCTTGTCAGTACATTCAGCATATTTCAAAGACAATAGAAGTAATTATATAAAGAGATGTACTTAAGTCTTTAAGAAGTGGGTCAAAAAGGCACTCTAAGGTCAGCTAGATGCATTTAATATTATTCTATAAATTATTTTCATGCATTTAAGTGTCTGAAAACATTAGATACGGTTTGCACTTAAGTATATTCTTTTAACAGATATTATTCCCGTAAACTCTTTTTAAAAGTATGCTAAATGTACTTCTTTTTCACAAACGTATGTCTACATACCTTTGTGTCTTTTTGATTTCTCAGAAGGAGAAACATTTGAGACTAAATTGATTTGTTAATTAGATGCAACTGAAATCTATCAAATGTTGCTTTCAGTAATGTTAATAACGTCTCTCATTTATACGATTTTCCATGCGCATTCAAGTGTGTATGATCGTCTGCATGTGTGCACCTTGGTATAGGGGTTCTCCATCCACGCGGGGTGGGTTGCAGTCGCGTCATCCGTGTCGCTCTGGTAGTAGTAAAGGTTGAAGGTCTCTTTGCAGGATCGGTGGTGCGTGATCCGCGAGGAGCATTCGATCATGGTGAAGAGCAGCTCCACGTACACCTGCGATGCCTCTTGGCGCTCGATGAGCTTACTGCGCAGCCAGTGACTGGACGAGCCGTCGGCTTGGCAAATCTGATAGGTCCTCACGCTGTTGTTCTCCTCATCTAGACCGCTGATCTCCTCCCACTGCACAAACGAAGGAGATCAGTTGTAATAACATACGCTTTGACTGAGGTTTTGCTCGACATGTAAGGGTCAGACGCTGGAGCTGCTGGACTCACCTCAGGTTTAGAGCGAGAGTTTGTCGTCCACTTCAGATCTGATGTCTCCGTCTTCGTATTCATCAGGACTTCTGTCACACACAAGATAGAGAGAGGGGGTTTTGTTAAAAATAACTAAATAGATAAATCACTAAAAAAATATGAGATCACAATCTTTAATATTGCCTTGTTGTGAAAAATAAGTGTGCTTAATTGTGTGTTTAAAGTGTACTTCGCATCTTAAAAGTGTTTTTTTAAAGAAAAAAACTGGACTTTCTTTCTTCTGTTGAACACAAAAGAAGATGTTTTGAAGAATGCTGATAACCTGACAGCTGACAGTAGCCATTGACTTCCATAGTATGGAAACAAAAAAAATAATACTATAGAAGTCAATGGCTACCGTCAACTGTTTGGTTATTAACATTCTTCAAAACATCTTCTTTTGTGTTCAGCAAAAGAAAGAAACTCACACAGGTTTGGGACAACTTGAGGTATTATTGAAGTATTATTTATTAAAAGTATATTTTAAAAACACTGTACTTACAGATAATATAATATTAATACAGTAAAAGACCACTTAAGTGCACTTAAGAAACCATCTATCTTCAACATGCTTAAAGGGATAGTTCACCCTAAAAAAAGAAGATAGTTTGAAGAATGTGGGTAAACAAACAGTTGTTGGTCCCCATTGACTTCCAAAGTATGGAAAAAAATACTATAGAAGTCAATGGCTACCGTCAACTCGTTGGTTCCCAACATTCTTCAAAATATCTTCTTTTGTGTTCAGCAGAATAAAGAAACTCATACAGGTTTGGGACAACTTGAGGGTGAGTAAATTATATATTTAAGTATTATTTAGTAAAAGTATATTTTAAAAAACTTGTACTTACAGATAATATAATATTAATACAGTAAAAGACCACTTAAGTGCACTTAAGAAACCATCTCTCTTCAACATGCTTAAAGGGATAGTTCACCCTAAAAAAAGAAGATAGTTTGAAGAATGTGGGTAAACAAACAGTTGTTGGTCCCCATTGACTTCCAAAGTATGGAAAAAGAATACAATGGAAGTCAATGGCTACCGTCAACTCTTTGGTTACCAACATTCTTCAAAACATCTTCTTTTGTGTTTAGCAGAAGAACGAAACTCACACAGGTTTGGAACAACTTGAGGGTGAGTAAATTATATATTTAAGTATTATTTAGTAAAAGTATATTTTTAAAAAACTGTACTTACAGATAATATAATATTAATACAGTAAAAGACCACTTAAGTGCACTTAAGAAACCATCTATCTTCAACATGCTTAAAGGGATAGTTCACCCTAAAAAAGAAGATAGTTTGAAGAATGTGGGTAAACAAACAGTTGTTGGTCCCCATTGACTTCCAAAGTATGGGGAAAAAATACAATGGAAGTCAATGGCTACCGTCAACTCTTTGGTTACCAACATTCTTCAAAACATCTTCTTTTGTGTTTAGCAGAAGAACGAAACTCACACAGGTTTGGAACAACTTGAGGGTGAGTAAATTATATATTTAAGTATTATTTAGTAAAAGTATATTTTTAAAAAACTGTACTTACAGATAATATAATATTAATACAGTAAAAGACCACTTAAGTGCACGTAAGAAACCATCTCTCTTCAACATGCTTAAAGGGATAGTTCACCCTAAAAAAGAAGATAGTTTGAAGAATGTGGGTAAACAAACAGTTGTTGGTCCCCATTGACTTCCAAAGTATGGGGAAAAAATACAATGGAAGTCAATGGCTACCGTCAACTCTTTGGTTCCCAGCATTCTTCAAAATATATTTTTTTGTGTGTGTGTTCAACAGAAGAAAGAAATACATACAGGTTTGGAACAACTTGAGGGTGAGCATATGACAAATTTTCATTTTTGCACTTTGTAATAATGTCACATTTTAAATCATTATGTTATATAATCTTTTGTGGTGCTTTAAAGAATACACTTGGCTTTGATGTGTTGACTAACATACTAAAGCACATGTAAAATACAGCACTATAATTTTAACTGTAGTCCTCATGATGCTTTTTAACTAGTGTGGCTTCACCAGCAGGGTTTCCTTAGTCAACCAGCTTCACCAGAACATTTGTTTTTACCGGTCCACTAACAAAAGCAGCAGCAGCCATAAAAACCCACGGAAATTCATGCAGATCTGCCGTTTTTTCAGCACGATATGACACTGCAACATCGGAGCAATGACATTTTTCCTCCGAGCACACAGAGGGCAAGGGAAGTTCCCCGAGGTTCGATGGTTTGGTTATCAAATCATGTCCAGCAAAAACAAATCTGGAAACTATGGGCGTGTTTCTCTCTCATAGCGACTTGCGTAGCTGCAGTATCCCACAAGGAAACCGACGGACATGGGAACAAGGGCACAGCCTAATTTTACACTCGCACACATATACAGTGACAATACAAAATCACTATATAGAGTTTCAACCCAGCAGTGAACGATGGTCATTTAATTTCCAGTGAACATCCTTCCTTTCATCCATTTCCACTCTCTCTCTCTCTCTCTTGATTGCATTTTTGCTTGAACTGGCTGTTGGTCATTACTTATTGATGCTGGTGATGGGTTTTAATCAGGCATTCATTCAGTCACCCCCTCCAGACTTCCGCGCACATATCTGGCCCTGGGGTTCTTGCTATGGGAGCCGCGCTGGTCATGTGACCACCCGAAGCCACTGCACGGTTCAAACCAGCTTCAATCACAAAGATCCTTTGATCTAAAAATACTACCACCGAATATATTCCCCTCTCTCTCTTTCTCCTGCCGTTATTTGTTCAAACTCCTTTCTTATCCTCGTCTCTGAGGAGGAACACCTTTATTGCTCTTTTTTTGCATGTGCTTTTCCCACGAGTGTTAGAGTTTAGCATACGGAGATGGAATCGATGCGTTTCTGTCTGTACGTATCTGGGTCGAGACTTGTCTTGGGGTCTAGAAGCTTTCTGTTGGTTTAAACCTCAGAAAAGCATCAATGGCAAGAAGAAAAAGATGTTGTTTAAGCACATATGGCTTGCAGGGAGAACACTGGATATGTTCCGAATGGATATTACTTACTGTGCAGTATATACTTTATAATGTGTAATATGTAAAACAGTCAATAACTTCAAACTTTAGTGTGCTGCATTGCTGCTACATTACATCATGTTAAATGTTTAATTGTGTGAGTAAAATTAATTGTTTAAGGTCATGCTGAAATGGCAGTAGCAACAGAGCAGCTTTTTCTTTCATATTGTGATGTACATCTAAGTAAAACGGATTATTACAAAAGAAAAAATACTTAGTTCTGTCCATTGACTGCTGATTGTCTGAAAGCGAGCTTGCAGTTGATTGTAAGAAAGGGGCGGGGTTTAAGCGGACTAAATGATTGAAGAAATCATCTGAAGATCCAGTTTATGACATTTTGATTAAAAATTACAAGGTCAAAACAAATAAAAAAAAACAATAATAATAAACATGCATTGATGAATATATCAGTGAGGTTTAAAAAAATAGATAGGGTGAATTTCCATTTTATGCTGACTTTAAATCCAGTTTTATGCAAAAATGTGTTAACTTTTAGCAGTTTGAGTAAATAATAGATAAGTAAAAAAAAATTGTTAACGAAAACAAACCATAAAAAGAATTTTCATTGCTTGAAATAAAATAAACATCTAAAATATATATATATATATAAACATTATATACATAATTATTATAATGTATTATTTAAATTTTAAAATTATCTAAAATAAAATAAATTATAAAAACTTTTTTCATAATTGTATTTATCATTTTTTTGTCTAGTTTAGTTGAAGTGCTAAAATAACAAACTACAAATATAATAAAAACTACATAGACATAAAAAACATAAAAATGACTTTTAATGATTTTAACAAAAACTTTAATAGTATGTAATAATATAATAGTAGGCTCTGGTTGTATATTCAGCAAGTGTAGTATTTCAACCAAGTATTTGGTGTGCACAGAAGACTAGTATACTGCACAGAGTATACATACTGCAAGACTAGCATGAGTAGTTAACACACCCGATGAGTCTCTATCTGTATGTATCTGGGTCGGAACTTGTCTTGGGGACTGGAAGCTTCCTGCTAGACTTGTGCCGGTATTCGGTAATGCGATATATCACGGTAATGAATATGCACGATATTGTTATCGTGGGCACTTCTAAATACCGTGAATAATTATATATTACAAATTATTCCGAATTTTGAATGCATTTTAAGAATACTTTTCCCATCAACTGGTCAAAATGCACAAAGGGTTATTACTGTTAAGTAAAATTAAATTCTAAGCAGTAAAATTTCAAACTGGAAATACATAAAAACTTAAACTAAAATAAAAAAAAATCAACATAAATAGTAATATTTAAAATAAAAACAAATACAACATACAAAAGTACATAAAATTACTAAAAATTAAACGGAAAATAAAATGAAAACAGTAAATATTTTATAAAAATAAAAGTTAATTTAAAATAATAATAAAAATGATAATAGTAATATCAAATTAACACTGACATTTATTTTATATTTAGTTTTTATAGTTCATCGTATTTGGTACTAATGGTACTATTTTTGTACTATACTTAAACTGTATAATTGGAATGGGGAAAAAAAGTTAAAATTCTGAATGCATAAATCCAAATGGTTCAAAAAACAAAAAAAACAAAAAAAAGTTCATTTTCAAAATATAATTTCTCTGTTTTTTTTTTTTTTTGTTATAATGTTTTTTGTTTTTTTTCTCTTTTACTTTTGTTGCTGGTATGAAATATGACCTGGTGCTTCATCCGTGAAGTGTGCGTGTATGAACACCAGGTTACTGAGGACTACGGTGTGTGATGTGATAGATTATGGTCTGTTACGGTGTGTGTGTGTGTGCCTGTATGTAATTACAGTGGTCCATATCCTGCTGTCTACTCTATCATTACTTATAATGGGGCAGGAAAAGTGTGTGTGTTTGTGTGAGCGAGTGTGTGTTTCTCCTTATGGCTCGCCTCAAAAAATAGGTTAGACACAGCGAGACTCCAAAGTTGACAACAGGATTATCACTCACCTGACACA